CTATTACATATAACATCTAATATAAACATTAATTTTATCATAGAGAGCAATCCAAATAAATTAAATATAAAATTATGACATAGTTTTAAGGATACTTAACTCACTTGCATTTTGTTAGCAAACTAAGAGCATCGAGATTATGACACTGTATGTATGTGTAGAAGTCAATTTTGTTTTGTTGTTTTTTGCTCAAAAACATGTTCACAAATGGTTTCAAACTCTCTAACAAATACTGATTATTATGTTATATAATAAGGATAAATTGCAAAAATCACACTAAATTTTAAAAAAAAAAAATTGATTTCAACATTGTTTTCTTTCACCATATTTTTTTTTAATTTTGACACTTATAAAACGATGTTACTAAAAAATGTCATGTCAACGCCATGTCGTCAAATACTTACATGTGTCGTTTCATTTCCTATTAGTTGATAATTTTAATGATCGTTCAAATGATAAACATTGAAAGAAATTGAAAAATATATCAAAATTTAACTTAGTTATGAAAAAATAATGTCGTAATTATAGAAAAGAAATAAAATAACGTCAAAATTAAATTTTACTAAAACTTAATTTTTTTTAATACAATTCACTAAAAAATCAACAAATGCTATTAAAAACAGTTACAACCGTGATGGTCTCACACCAACATTATCAAATGAGTTTTCGATTTTCATATAAGAAATTGCTTTAAATGAAGATATAATAATTTAATTTATTTAATGTCTTAGATGGGGTTTAGCCGACCTAAACTTTCTTTAAATGCCTTTTATCGTCTCCGAAACTCACATCTTACTTATCAATTCATTCTAGATTTTGACATAAGTTATAGAAACCCGTAAACAATTAATATAGTTAAATCGCTATAAGAAATATGGTCTATATCGACGGCACTACAGATAAGCCGGTCGTCGCCAAATTTTAGTTGTGACAAGATTTCGTTACCTTAGTTTTGTGCATGTTGTTAAAATGTTGTTGCTAGAGATTTCAATCTCAAGAGATTTGTCTAATAAAATATAGCCGGTATAGATATTTTTTACTTTCTTTTATTTAAAGCTAAGTAATGGCGATGAGGAGTCGGGTTAATTTTTAAATTTTTATTATTTCTTTTGTAATTATATGCTAAAACAATATAAAGTTCCGTTCGAATTTTCATATTTAGTACTCACACATTTAAATATTTAAATCTAATACAAAAATTCAAATTTCATACAAAATCATTCAGTGTTTATAATACTAAAACCTTCCAAAATTCAAAGCCAAATGAAAACACAATCGTTCAAAGTTCTAATACAAACACTAATTATTTTTTCCTCAATCCATTTTTTTAATATTTCCACAAATTTGTATCAAGATATAATAAGTATTTTACACTTTTCATTGTCCCATAGGTTAAAGAGCATCATTGGTGTAAATTGTCCTCCATGATAAAAATCATTAGACTTTATTGTTGTTGGATGTCATGTTTTTGCAACGATGATCGAACGGCTTGAAACGCTTTTGCCTTTGCCGGTGTTGTTGGATGTTCTTTTAGACGATTTTTTTTTAAATGAATATATTTGGTATGAACTTTTTAAATAAAAACAGATATGAAAATTCATAGAATTATGTTAAGTTGGGGATTCGATGGTTAGCAAAACAAAAAATCAATTTTGCAAGCAATTCGTGAATCCTTTAAGATGGTACTTCAAAAGATTTGGCATACATTAATTTTAGGAATTTAATGAACTTTGTGAGGGTTTCGCAAAAGCAATTTTTTGTTAGAAATAGCTATAGTTGGCTCATTTGTGAAGCTATTTTCGTGAATTAAGTGATATTTTGTGATTTCAAACTAAAAGCTTGTTTATTTAGTTATATATATGGCTTCTATTTATGCTCAATTCTTGGAATAGCTCTAATAGATATGTAACTATCTTCAAATTAAACTCCTAAAATAATTATTACTTAAAAAAAACAAATTGAGTAGAAACCTAATTATGACATAAAACTAAAGTTAACAAAAGTTAAGGGAGTAGGGTGCATGATACAATGAATGAGGTAGAGCTTAATTAACACATTTAAAATATATATTACTAAGCCTGTTTTTGTGAATATATATTTGAATATTGCACCTAGTTTTTTCACCTTTTTGTGTGACAAATTCCCTTTAAAAAGTTCATCAAACACCTTATTTTTACACAATAAAGTGTTGCGGGGATCCCCACAAGTTGGCTTAAAAAGTGTAAACTAGATGGTGTTGGTTACTTTCTTTACATTAATATTCTTTTCATTGATTGGACTAGGAACATGCTTCCAAGTTCAAAAGAGTTTAAGAAGTCTTAGAGCACTCTTCATGAACGAATACCATCGCATATTTATATATTATTATTATTATTTAATAACAGAGGTTTCTTAACGTTTTGACCATATAATTTTTTTTTTTTTGACTTTTAAGAACGTGCAAACAATTGCAAAAAGTACATTTATAGTGCGTATAAAGTTGGTTTATTGTATAGGTAGATCACTATTGTCGTAATATTTGTTAGGGTTTGGAGGAGAAGAATGTTTTTGTAATCAATAGGTAGGTTGGATTTGTTTGAAGGATCGTGTGATCACTTTCCAAATCTGATATTTCGATCCTATGTTTGGGTTATACGAAATCTGGATTATGAGGATAATCATTCAAGGAAAGGTTTGATATCAAGACACCGATATGTGACACAGACTAGGGTAGTGTTAAATGTTGATTTTATCCCGTCAGGGGCATTGCCGCTTGGACTCCGCAAGGGCATGTCATTTGATCGAATTGAAATCAACTTGTTTTATACAAGCGTGCATTCCGTACCTTCTGATTTGTTTAAAATTAAGACTTGAACTTCATTGGTATCTATAAATTCCATTACACTAGAATGAACGTGACACTAAAATCACAAACAATATTAACATGCTAATTGTTTATAAAAAAAATTTAAAAAAAAATATATATATAGACAAAGTTTGTAGCACATTCAAACGCCTCCCTGTAAGGACGTGATACTGACTACCATGTTGGTGACTTGAGTTAATATATATATATATATA